CTGAAGTTCTTGTATGAAAGAGTGAGACTAGATAAGAGTTCTGAGTCATCAGGCATGGACGATGTCACAAACATGATCTCCATAACTCCCCATCTACATCCAACAGTGGTGAACAGATTGGTGGAAGGTATCCAACAAGGATGCTTCGTCTGGACAATAAAACACCCAGTTCTCCATGATGAAAGGATTGCTTCTCTGCTTTGGACAGAGATCAATGATAACATAGTTGAGACTGTCCTGCGAAGGGATGTGGACACTGGTGAAAGCTTTTTGTATTTGGCTTCCCTCTCTGACAGTTACTTTCTATTCTCCAAGTCTTTAGAAGTTGCTGTACGACTGGGTGACAGAGCACCTGATCTGTATGCATGTGTTGTAGCCTGTGTTACCCACGACAAACTGGAACACCTGGAACACCTCGTTACAGTGATGGGTAAACATGAAGGATTTATTGTTGAATATGCCATCGATGGGACAACCCTCCTGCTCATGGCTGCAAAGTCACGAAATCCTAAGGTGTTTAATTTTCTCAAGAAGAAAGGTGCTGATATTTCAGTGAAGGACTGGAAAGGAAACACCTGTTTGCATTATGCCTGTGAATCAGGAAACATGGCAATAGCAACGAAGGTGGTGGAAACATGCCCTGCATTGATTAGTTTGATGAATTATGAGAATTTAACGCCTGCAATGATTTGTGCCAAAAAGGGTCACCTTGACATTCTGAAGTTCCTCAAAGAAAAGGGAGCCGATTTAACATATACATCCGGAAAAGACTGTTTACATTTGTCAAGTGAAAATGGCAATCTGTCAACTGTGAACTTCTTAATTTCATTGAAAATATATGATGTAAACAAGAAGGAAACTAAATTAAAGGCAACACCAGCTATGTTTGCCATGAAAGGAGGGCACTATGATGTTTATCGTTGTCTTGTCTCTAAAGGCGCAGATCTCACCATTTCTGATATATACAACACCGACTGCCTAATGTTAGCATGCCAAGGAGGTAACATGTCTATTGTGAAACACATCCTATCCACGAAAACATGTGACATCAACAGACGGGGAGGAAGGTCAAATCAAACATCAATAATGATGGCAACAGAAAGTGGACACTATGATGTTTATCAACTCCTTGTAACTGAGGGCGCAGATCTGACACTTACTGATGGAGACAACACTGACTGTCTGATGTTGGCATGTAAAGGAGGTAATATATCTATTGTGAAAAACATCCTCTCCATGAAAACATGGGACATCAACAGACGGGGAGGATACTCAAACCAAACACCAATAATGATGGCATTAGAAAGTGGACACTATGATGTTTATCATCTCCTTGTAACTGAGGGCGCAGATCTGACACTTACTGATGAAGACAACACTGATTGTCTGATGTTGGCATGTCAAAGAGGTAACGAATCTATTGTGAAACACATCCTCTCCATGAAAACATTTGACATCAACAGAAGGGGTGGGAGGTTAAACCAAACACCAATAATGATGGCCTTAAAAGGAAGACACTATGTTGTTTATCATCTCCTTGTATCTGAGGGAGCAGATCTGACACTTACTGATGAAGACAACACTGACTGTCTGATGTTGGCATGTGTAGGAGGTAACGAATCTATTGTGAAACACATCCTATCAATGAAAACATGTGACATCAACAGACGGGGAGGATACTTAAATCAAACACCATTCATCATGGCATCGGAAAGAAGACACTATGATATTTGTCATCTTCTTGAATCTGAGGGCGCACATGGGACCTACATATGTTATACAAGTTGCTTTGTGGGCAATAGACGACTCAGTTGTCTCAGAAATATTTTAAATGTACCAGACAATTGTGAGTAAAAGCAAGCAAACAACATTTCCTGGGGTAGTTTTTCGTGCTGAATACGAATCTATTGTTTGCTAAGCTCAAAAATGCCTAATTAGGTCACAAATTGGGTTCAAAGGTTAATGAGTGCCAAAAAATTTTAAAAGTGTTTTATGTATCATTCTCCATCCATACAATGAACTCATTTTACAATATATTGATCAATAATGGTACCACAGGATTTCAAAATGTTGGATTTCATGGAAATGCTGAAGGAAAAATTTCGTATTTTTGCAAATATCTCCCGAGTTTTAGTTTTTGTGCGAAGAGCTACTTTTTGCAAGCATTTTTGCTCAAAATGCAAAGCCAGGCTGAATCTTTTCCTTTTGTTGACATAATTATATTCCAGGCAAACTGTTTAGATCACAAAAATTGCATATTAGGCGAATAATTACTTCAAAGTTTAATGAGTGTGACAGGATGCGATAGGCATTTTTACATGTATGCAACACGAATGCTTTTATACTGCTTCACATGCATGTCAAATCAAACTGCTTTCATTCATGCAGTGAGTTTGATTAATGATTTTTGCAACATAATTACCCACAGAACAGTTCAGGAAATCACAGGAACAGGTGGGAACCCTATCCGGTAATGTGTCAAATACAATGTACATAGTATGAAGATGAAGGCGAAAGTGGAACATAAATGCATACAAGCCATTAGCTATGGCAGAAGGATTGAGGCTGTACTAAAAGACTTTGCTATCAAATGTTTGGTTTTAGGAATCTTTGTCCAGGAGGATTTTGTTAGTTGGCACACTGCACTGGTACTTTTTTATTCAAAAGGTGCAGTGTGTGTACCAGAGAGGTCATCAGTGGTGGTATATACGTAGCACTGGTGTAAGTTTGTTTACAGGCCAAGGTGTATCATTTGAGCTTTGTATCATATGTCAGGAAACCAGTCAGTCTAAAAATACCCTCTACAACCAGACAGACCTGAGCATCTAATCTATTTTTGAGGCCACCCAGTTCAGGCACAAATTGAAACATTTCCTTGGGAAGCATTGGACTGTTCCTTGGCAAACCTTACATTTATTTTTCCCTAATGTGTGTATGCTGAATAACAGAGTTTGTGCCATTTTAGATTAGGGTTGCCGTCAAGAGGTTCTTCAAAGAGGAACGAAAGCCTGTCCAGAGATGACCGAACTTTGTAATGTTTCAATTTGTGCCTGAGCTGGGTGGCCTCAAAAATAGATTAGATGCTCAGGTCTGTCTGGTTGTAGAGGGTGTTTTTAGACTGACTGGTTTCCTGACATATGATACAAAGCTCAAATGATACACCTTGGCCTGTAAACAAACTTACACCAGTGCTACGTTTATACCGCCACTGATGACCTCTCCTGGTACACACACACACTGCACCATTTGAATAAATAAGTACAAGCAGTGCATCAACTAACAAAATCCTCCGGGACAAAGATTCCTAAAACCAAATATGTGATAGCAAAGTCTTTTAGTACAGCCTCGATCCTTCAGTCATAGCACATGGCTTGTATGCATTTATGTTCCACTTTCGCCTTCATCTTCATACTATGTATTTGACACATTATAATAATAATAGTAATAATAGGGCATTTTTAACGTGCATATATCCATACTGAAGTATGCTCAGAGTTGGTGAGTTTTAAGTTTTGATCGGAAGATAGAGAAGTCGCTGGTGTTCCGGAGAGAGAAGGGAAGATCATTCCAGGCTTTTGAAGCTGCGTAGGCGAATGAATTGCTGTAAGCCCTAGGAACAAGAAGAAGGTTTTTGTCCTGAGAACAAAGGGATCTAGCTGGTTTATCTAGCTGGCATAAGAAGATTGGAGAGATGAGCAGGAGCGCATCCTGACAGGCAGTGGTAGGTGAGGCAGAGGAGTTTAAAGCGGATCCGGTTCTCGATAGGAAGTCAATGAAGAGATTGAAGAATGGGAGAGATGTGGTCAAACTTCTTCGATCTAGTCACGACACGTGACGCAGCAGTTTGGATTCGTTGACGTCTCTGGATTTGTGATTTGTTTGCACCGGCTAGGAGAGAGTTACAACAGTCGAGGCAGGTCATTATATGGTGAGAGTCTTTGCCGAATCTATAGTCAGGTATTGCCTAATGGAACTGATATTGTGTAGAGCTGCAAAACAGATCCTAGAGAGATGTAGTATATGATCATCCAAAGAGAGGTTGGAGTCAAGGATGACACCAGGATCTCTTACTTTCTGTGAGAATGGAATACTTTCTCCATCAAAATCAAGGGCATTCAATGAGCACTGGGAGCAACGTTTTGCAGGACTTTGAACTGTTCCATTTCAGCATGTTGTCAAACATCCAGCTCTGGTTTCCTCACAGCACTGTTGTAGGTCGTTCAAGGCGGGTGTTGCTTGATCCAGGGTGGGTAGGAAGACTTTGTACATTTGGGAATCATCAACAAAGTGATGGCGATCAACATGGTGGGCTTCCATGATTTTGCCAAGGTCTTTGATGTAAAGACTGAAGAAGACCGGACCTAAGACCGATCCTTGTGGGACACCACAAAATAGATGAGCTGGATTAGAGTAATGATCCTCTATCAGTACTTGCTGGTGACGGGACGACAGATTGGACTTTAACCAGCATAGAGCTGTGCCATCAATTCCATTATCAGATAGGGTTCCCACCTGTTCCTGTGATTTCCTGAACTGTTCTGTGGGTAATTATGTTGCAAAAATCATTAATCAAACTCACTGCATGAATGAAAGCAGATAGATTTGACATGCATGTGAAGCAGTATAAAAGCATTCGTGTTGCATACATGTAAAAATGCCTATCGCATCCTGTCACACTCATTAACCTTTGAAGTAATTATTCGCTTAATATGCAAATTTTGTGATCTAAACAGTTTGCCTGGAATATAATTATGTCAACAAAAGGAAAAGATTCAGTCTGGCTTTGCATTTTGAGCAAAAATGCTTGCAAAAGGTAGCTCTTCACACAAAACTAAAACTCGCTCGATAAGGGAGATATTTGCAAAAATACGAAATTTTTCCTTCAGCATTTCCATGAAGTCCAACATTTTGAAATCCTGTGGTACCATTATTGATCAATATACTGTAAAATGAGTTCATTGTATGGATGGAGAATGATAAATAAAACACTTTAAAAAAAAAAGAATTTTGCACTCATTAACCTTTGAACCCAATTTGTGACCTAATTAGGCATTAGCTTAGCAAACAACAGATTCGTATTCAGCACGAAAAACTACCCCAGAAAATGTTGTTTGCTTGCTCATGCCTCATGCATCCTTAATATCCACATTTCTGAGAAATTTGACTAGTCTATAATATTGAGGGAGCATATCTTGCCGCAACATATAGATAGACCTAACACCATTTACGGGAGCTGTAGGGGGGACACTGTCATGTTTGTGATCATGGGAGTGTTGGATGTTGATGTACTAGAGTCACAGGCAAAGATCCAGTACACACATTGAGAACTGGTCCGTTTCTGGTTGAAGGATGATGGCCAAGAAAATTTCGATTTCATCTTTGACACAACAGCAGTTTTGAAAAAAGACATTACTTTCATGAATTGCATACTAAACTGCATTTTCTGAAACTATTACACCTGTGAACTTCTAGTCAATGTTGCGCCTTCCTGAGCCACTATTAAGTATAGAGAGTTCAATAAGGTAAAGGGAAACCTTCCAGGATTGTCTAAGATCAGAAAGACCTTCAGCTGCCAACACCACTGAAACTGTTGATAACATGATGTGACCATATACAACAAACGCGAATACCACAGGTATTTGTCATGTGAGGGTTGAGAAAATATTGAGGACTTACAGAAGAATGACTAAGGCCTCAGTACGATTGGCTCCACAACTCCTGTAGTCGCTGCATATAGATCATTGCGCTGTGTTGTAAGGGTGTATGTACCAAAGCATAGTGTTGTAAGGGTGTTTATACCATTGTAGAGTGTTGTAAGGATGTGTATAGCTTTGTATAGTGTTGTAAGGGTGTATATAACATTGTAGAGTGTTGTAAGGGTGTGTACAGCTTTGTATAGTGTTGTAAGGGTGTATATAGCATTGTAAAGTGTTGTAAGGGTGTATATAACTTTGTATAGTATTATAAGGGTGTATATAGCTTTGTACAGTGTTGTAAAGGTGCATATAGCATTGTATAGTGTTGTAAAGGTGTATATAGCTTTGTATATTTTTGCAAAGGTGCATATAGCATTGCCTAGTGTTGTAAAGGTGCATGTAGCATTGTATAGTGTTGCAAAGGTGTACATACCGTTGCATACTAGTGTTGTTAGGGTGTATATAGCATTGTATAGTGTTGTAAGGGTGTATATAGCTTTGTATAGTATTATAAGGGTGTATATAGCTTTGTACAGTGTTGTAAAGGTGCATATAGCATTGTATAGTGTTGTAAAGGTGCATATAGCATTGTATAGTGTTGTAAAGGTGTATATAGCTTTGCATAATGTTGTAAAGGTGTATATAGCTTTGTATTGTGTTGTAAAGGTGTATGTAGCTTTGTATGCTGTTGTAAAGGTGCATATAGCTTTGTATAGTGTTGTAACAGTGTCTATAGATTTGTATGGTGTTGTAAGGGTGTATATAGCTTTATATGGTGTTGTAAGGATGTATGTAGCTTTGTATGGTGTTGTAAGGGTGTATATAGCTTTGTATAGTGTTGTAAGGGTGCATATAGTTTTGTATAGTGTTTTAAATATGTATATAACATTGCATAGTGCTGTAAGAGTGTATATAACATTGTATAGTGTTGTAAGGGTGTATATAACCTTGTATAGTGTTGTAAGGATGTGTGTAGCTTTGTATGGTGTTGTAAGGGTGTATGTAGCGTTGTATGGTGTTGTAAGGGTGTATATAGCTTTGTATAGGATTTTAAGGGTGTATGTAGCTTTGTATAGTATTATACGGGTGTATGTAGCTTTGTATGGTGTTGTAAGGGTGTATGTAGCTTTGTATGTTGTTGTAAGGGTGTATGTAGCTTTGTATGGTGTTATAAGGGTGCATATACCTTTGCACAGTTGTCGGGGCGGTTGGGTAGCCTAATGGTTAAAGCGTTGGCTTGTCACGCCGAAAACCCGGGTTCGAATTCCCACATGTGTACAATTTGTGAAGCCCATTTCTGGTGTCCCCCGCCGTGATGTTGCTGGAATATTGCTTAAAGCGGCGTAAAACCAACCTCAGTCAGTCAGTTGTATAGTTGTCACAAATCAAACGTAGACCTTAAGGAAAATCAGCACATTTACTACAAATGAAACTAAAACCTTTTAGGCTTTATACATTTTGATAATATCGTCCTTTCACATAGTTACATTGAACATTGACATTCCTCACAAGAGAATAAAGTATATCCGTTTACTAATCAGCACAGACAGGTTTAATATATTTCACACACCGAGGCAAACAATGATAAAAAATACACACAAGTTTATTGAATGTCCCTGTACAGAGATAATAGACCGTGCTTGAAATCCAGAAAATGTCTTCAGTATAAACAGGAGTAGGAGCAACCCACAACACCCCCACACACACATCCCCAACACCTCCAGGTCTGAAATAAAATATCTGCTCGCTAGTCACGTGGTGACAACCATAACGTCTCAACACACATCTAACACCAAACGTCTTAAAAATGACTCCAAGAATGATATTTAAAGTTTCTGCGAGGAGCAATCTGTAACTTGACCAATATTATTTAAACTTCAACAAAAAGTAATAAATCTACATATTAACTTTGTTTAAAGAAACCAAACTGTACACACCTTTTTCCTTAGGTATCCTGACAGTATGAAATTTCACATGTATGAAAAGGTGTGTTTCGGATATATGTTCTCATGTTAAGGAGGACATCATGTATCATTGTGTTGTGTTGTAATGGTGCATATAGCTATGCATTATGTTGTAGTGGTGCATTTATTATTGTAAAGAGTTGTACAAGTGTATGTATCATTGTAAAACATTGATCAGCAGGGCCCGTAGACGCAACGCTAACAAGGGAGACAATCAGCTACTCACGAAACTCAGCAATAGGGGGCGGGTCGAGACAACACTCAGACTAGGCATTTGGAATGTTATTGGACTTTTGTCGAAGTTGAATCTGGATGAACTGAAAATGTACTGACGAATTTTGATACTATCTTTTGTTTAGAAAATGAAATTTCTATCGTTTGGGCTGGGTGAATTAGATAGAAATTGATTTCTCTTTACTGACAAACCAGATATAAGGGGAGGTAATACATGGTCTAGAGGGCGCTGTCAGATATGTCTATAAATGTGACGTCATAGCGCGGTAAGTTCATTCTCGGCTGCGACACCAGTACTGAACATATTGATTTGTCACATTTCGTTCCACGTGTATTCTGTTTTCTGACCATGTCTGAACAGCCGGATATTAATGAAAAGTTGGATAGTATTTTAAAGAAGATTGAGGCTTCTAAAGCAGATATTTTCCGATCTGTTGACGCAAAGTTTGCTGGTCTGAATGAAAACTACGCTCGCACGTGTCAAGAACTTTCTAAGTTGAAGTCAGAAAAGGATTTTGTGTGGAAGCACGAGGGACACAGAATTCAGTATTCTTTTAACTCAGATACAATCGACGGTTTAAAGCAGATGAAATTTGCTTTACAATACGGAAAGGCCGATTATCTAAGTGAGCTTTTGGAGTCTGAGATCAACAGAGTTGAGAAGAGAAACAAACTCATCAGGATTGCTGATACGTCCGAGGGAGGCTGGGAAACAGTACGTGAATATGAAGCCAACGTTCTTGCTGACAACTCTGACGATGAGAGGAGGATTTCACGCGCGGACACCAGGGCCGTTAAGAAGCTCGAGAAAAAGAAATCGAAAACTTTCCGATTCGCACCTTATTCCAGGCCATCAGCGACTGTCACCCAGTCTACCCTGTGCTCTGGCGTTAGCAGTCTGTCTTCTCCTTCCCAGCAGCCCTTTCGTGCTCAGCGACGAGGCACGTGCTTCGCATGCGGAGACCCAACACACTGGAGGAGAGACTGTCCGTCTGTCACCGGGAGACCTCAGCGAGACAGCAGGGTCGTTGAAGACAGAAAGCTCAACGCCTAAACACGGTAATTGTGAACGCTTCTTATTAACTGATGACTTCTACGAATATGAGCAAGGTTGTGCTGAGATTAGAGTAAGAGGGCGTCTTAGAATGTCCTGTGAATTTTGGCGCGAAATCGGTGCTACTGACTTTGTTTTGGACGTGATTGAAACGGGATATAAGATTCCATTTTACTCTACGCCCCCAGCTATGGAACTGAGAAATAACAAATCTGCCATTGCTCATTCCAATTTTGTTTGTGACGCTATCACGGATTTGCTACGTAAAGATCTTATAGTTGAATGTATTGAACCTCCATGTGTGGTGAATCCTTTATCTGTTTCCATTCAAGCCTCCGGAAAGAAAAGACTAATTTTGGATTTGTCAGTTGTCAATATGCATGTGTATAAACTGTCAGTAAAGTATGAAGATTGGAAAACTGCTTTAATGTACATTAATGACAATGACTGGATTGTAAAATTTGACATACATTCTGCATACCATCATTTGGAGATATTTCATGAGCACACGGACTACCTTGGATTTTCTTGGGAGTGGCCATGTGGTAGAAAGTATTATAAATTTTTAGTTTTGCCTTTTGGACTGACTTCTGCCCCTTACATATTTACCAAAGTTACTCGACAGTTGGTCAAGATGTGGAGGCGTGAAGGTATTCGCATTGTCACATTTTTGGATGACGGTATCATGTCTGAAAGTTCACAATCGAAGTGTGATGTGGTAGCTAATAAGGTTAAGAGTGATTTAATTAGATCAGGCTTTGTTCCGAAAGCAGAAAAGTCCTTATGGTCTCCATCACAGCAATTAGAGTGGCTAGGTTTTTGTGTTGATACTTCTCTGTTCACACTGTCTGTGCCTGACCGGAAGATACAAAAGGTGAAGGACACTATCAGTAGTTTGTTATTGTGTTCAGGTGTCCGGGTTCCAGTCAGAAAATTAGCTTCAATTGTGGGTCAGATTGTAGCAATGAAACAAGTTATTGGCAGTGTATGCCAGTTGATGACTAGAGCCATCTCTTTTGATATTTTGAATGCACAGTCTTGGGGTGACAAGATATATTTATCACAGCAGAGCATCCAACAGCTTCGGTTTTGGGTTTCTAATATTGGCAACTACAACATGAGGTCGTTGTGTTCAGATAGTTCCCCTAGTCGGATCGTGTACAGTGATGCCAGTAGCACGGGGTACGGGGGTTACTGTGTTCAGTTTGGAGGTAGAGAGTCTCATGGAGTGTGGTCAGAGGAGGAGATGAAGATGAGTTCGACGTGGAGGGAATTGAAGGCTGTAGCTATGGTTCTCGAGAGTTTTCTTACTTTTGTAAGTTCTCACTCGGTGAAATGGTTTACAGATAACCAGAATGTAGTCACGGTTGTCCAGAAGGGAAGTATGAAACCGTATTTGCAAGTAGTAGCCATGGATATCTTCAAGCTTTGTTTGCATCATAGTGTGCAGTTGGAGGTGGAATGGATTCCTCGTGAAGAGAATGAAAAGTCTGATTTTCTCAGTAAGATAATTGATACGGATGACTGGGGTGTATCTGAAGAGTTGTATGAATGGATTGATGCCAAATGGGGTATCCATACAATTGATAGGTTCGCTTCGTACTATAATAAGAAAGTCGGACGTTTTGATTCTCGTTACTGGAATCCAGGGTGTGAGTCTGTTGATACTTTTACTGTCGATTGGAGCGGTGAGATGAACTGGATTGTTCCACCTCTCTACCTTATAGCCAGGGTATTGAAGCATATGTGTAGGTGTAAGGCTAAGGGAACACTGGTTGTTCCTAGGTGGTACTCGGCTAGCTTTTGGCCATTACTTTGTCCGAATGATGTGTTCATATCGGAGGTGAAAGATGTCTTACATCTTCCTGTGGTCAAAGAGGCATATGTGCCTAGTCGTTGTGGTGGTGGATTGTTTGGTGTTGTAGATCTGCGGTTTCTCATGTTAGCATTGTATGTTGATTACAGTGAATGATTTAATCCATATATTATTCCTTGTGTTTCAGGTATTATCAATTGTGTGTACCATGATGCTATCAGTAAGCTGCCTGCGAGTCTTAAGAGTGAGGTGTCGTCTTTAGCAGATCTATTAGATGATGCAAGGGCAGCATCCACTTCTAGAGCGTACGCTTCTGGTTTTCAGCGTTTTAAGGTTTGGGCTCAGTCGCATGGGTTGTCTGTTGTTATCCCTATCGCTCCTTTGTATTGTGCATTGTATTTGCTGTCTCTTATACAAAACAGTTCAAGCATTTCGCCTATAGTGACCGCATTTTACAGTATACGATATGCTCACGTTATTGTCGGTATACCTAGCCCCACCGACAACACCCTTGTGAAAAATGTTTTAGAAGCAGGCAGGCGAAGACTTTCCAAGTCAGTTGTCAAGAAAGTGCCTGTGACAAGTGAACATGTAAGAGCTTTGTTCCAAGCATTCAGTTGCAAAACATGTTTAAAGGAAAGTAGAATTGTTACTATGGTTGCTATTGCATATTGTGTTTTTGCGATCAGAAGAGTTGCTGCATATACGTAGATCAGACATTGTATTTCATGAGCACCACATGTCCATTTTTGTGGAGAAGTCCAAGACAGATGTTTACCGCGACGGTGCATGGGTTGTCATAGCATCTACAGGTTCTGAATTTTGTCCAGTGGTACAGTTGAAAAGTTATCTGAAATTAGCAGATATTTCCGATAACTCAGATGAGTATATATTTAGATCAATTTCGGTGTGTAGTGACCGATATAGATTGAGGCAAGTTGATAAGCCACTATCTTACACAAGATTGCGAGAGTTATTTTTGGAGGCACTTACTCCTCTGGTCCCAGATATCTCCAAGTATGGACTGCATAGTTTAAGGGCAGGGGGTGCTACCGCAGCAGCCAACAGTGGCATAGCTGACAGACTGTTTAAGCGACATGGTCGCAGGAAAAGTGAAAAGGCCAAGGATGGCTATGTAAAGGATGACTTGCTTGCGAGACTGAGTGTGTCGAAGTCTCTTGGTTTGTAATTGTGACTGCTTGAAATAAAATAATTTCAGTCTTCCCCTTTCTTTTTGTCTCGGCAAGTGTCGCAGGGGACTTACACTGATGTTTGTTCTTTTATCTGGTTTGTGTTGGTGGTAGAAGGAGAAATGAAATTTCTATCGTTTGAGCTGGGTGAATTAGATAGAAATTGATTTCTCTTTACTGACAAACCAGATATAAGGGGAGGTAATACATGGTCTAGAGGGCGCTGTCAGATATGTCTATAAATGTGACGTCATAGCGCGGTAAGTTCATTCTCGGCTGCGACACCAGTACTGAACATATTGATTTGTGACACTTAGGTGCTGCAAGAAGAGATGATAATGAGAAACACTGCTGCAGTGTTGTCATACCTACCTTGTAGGTGGAGAAGATGTTACAGTAGCATCTGATGTCTACAGTGATAATATGCGTACTTTTTTCTTCTAGGGTGCAAACGTAGAAACTGCCTTGCAGGAAGATGAATCTGCTTGAAGGAATGTTTGCGTGGAACAAGACGGTGAGGCGATAATCATCACTGTGATGTGATGTACCGCGTACAGTTTTAATAAACGCCTCGGCAAGTGTCGCAGGGGACTTACACTGATGTTTGTTCTTTTATCTGGTTTGTGTTGGTGGTAGAAGGAGAACATGGATTGCATCTGTTGACATTGATCAACCTGTGGACGATTTCGTTGTTTACATTTGCTTGGAACGCGAAATGCCCGTTCTTTGAGATATATGGGAGGAATATGTGTTAAAATATGTAAAAGTATTTCCGACTATGTCAACAGAGTACCCTCTAATTATTCAAAATTCGTATTTGTAACATTAAACACACAGTTATACCGACTTCGTCAGCTATTTTACTTAGAGTTGTATATATACCACCCATGGCTTCACCTATGCACCAGGGACATGACCAATGCGGTAATATAGATGAACTGGAAACGAGTTATCAGACATGTATACAAAATATGACATAAGTGATTTTATTCTTTGTGGTGATTTTAATGCATGCACAGGACATGAACAAGATTTTTCCGAAAATGATGATAAAGGCTCATCTCTACCAGATTGTTATAAAGATGATTTTGTTTAAATAACCCTAGTATCAAAAGATGAAACAGTAAATTCTTATGGGAAAGAAGTTGTTAAATTTCTACATTGTTAATGGGGCTCTGATCGTACCGAGGGTGAATATACGTATATTTCCAAAAATGTAAGTAGTGTTATTGATTTTTTCAATGTTTCAACAAATCTGTTTTATCTTGTTTCGGATTTTGCTGTAGATGGTCGTACCGAGCCTGATCATGTTCCAGTGGAGATGTGTAGTAGTATTCAGGTTTATGTACAACCATATCCTACTGATGTGCAAGTCAACTACATATACAGTCTGATCATCTTCCACTCTAGATGTGTAGTAGTATTCAGGTTTATGTACCACCATATCCTACTGATGTGCAAGTCAACTACATATTGTAATAGAATCTAAATTGAGATAGTATATGTATTAAAAACATCATGTAAACCTTGTCAATCACAAGTGTCACCTATTTTCGTTATATCACGATCTATCTGCAAACGTCCATCCATATTTTAACATTAAAGTAAATAATAACCTAACAACATCATAGGCAGTTACCTGGTTCTGAAGTTCACAGATCTGAGGCATCTTTAAGGGGGCATATTCACTGTTGATAGATGTTTTATCAAGCACTGAACGTTCGCAGTAGCAGCACTTGTTAGACATGACCCAATTACCACTGTGTGTCACTACGCTATTTTCATCCATGAAGGGTTCTACTACTGATGTCATTCTGTACTATTATTGTACAGGCTTATGTATTTTATGTCTCCAAATGATGTATTTATTCACTGTCTTGAGTCATTGTGTATTTTGAGTGTTAACACCGATGTTTGTCAGGGACTATTTCTTGTGCACCTCCTGCTTCGTGGCTATTTATAGAAAGTAAGTGTCTCTTTTGACCCAGATAAACAATGACTTATTACACTTGTTAATGACGATTTTCTGATAACTTTCTTGCTCAGAAGTGTTGTAAAGTGTATTCCATGATAAATACTAATGAAAATTACACTTGATTGAACTGAATAACGAATTTGATCTGTTTCACATTTCTCGGGTTACGGTGACCTGTCAACAACATTTACGTTAGGCTGAGTGACTAATTATAAATTGGATGTCCGTTTTTATATCAAGGCCACATATTCATTATCTGGTATTTTCCTGCATTCTATGGTAGAAATGCTTTGCTTTACGATATGGAGGACAATGTATAACCACCTGTATTTCCTACATTTGTACCTGCAGTATGACAGTCGTTTCGTGTTTTGACATTTGTTGCCAACAATCATTCTAGGCACTAATGGACAATCTGCTGTCCGTTTTCTCTGTTTGCATTTACCAAATATTTTAGCAAACTTGTTCGTGTCCGAATTGTTAAAGGACACATAGGACAACATGAATTCTTGGATACAGGGCATATTGATGCTACACTGGGCCAAAGTTGTCAATGGTCTTAGTATACATTTGACGTCTGTCAAAATGTCGTCCCGCCGCTTGGCCTGAATATAATCGTTGTCCTTATTCTTGTTATATAACATGTTTACACAAATCTCGCTTGTCCATCGTGGCTGATCTTTTCGGACACTTTATTTAACATAAGGACAATACCATATGATAAAGGAAACTTATGCTTTTGTAAATTTCACTTGTCATAGAGCCGAGCACAAAACAAGATGGTGGCCACTGACGCTACGTTGACGGAAAGATGTTGTCCGTTTTATTATAACAAACTGTCTCGATGTCCTGATTATTTCTACTGTGTTCTTATTGTATTCTGACAAGAAGGACAACATAAGGTCAATTAGTAGTCACTTACTTGTGTTAGAAATGAACTGCTTAGGCAGCGTTTCTTTTATGCAAGCCATCAAACCTGTGTTCTGATTGGTTGAGAAAGGTCACATGACCTCCTGATGATGCCTATAAATACGATCACTGGTCAAGGCCTGACACTCGACACACCCACTCGACACACCCACTCGATACACACTCGATTCGGATTTGCATTCGGATTCGATTCACTCGGGTCACTCGATTTAGATACAATAAGACTTTCAGTCTGATTAAAGGCTCCTGCTCATATTTGTACCTGGCACCTCTACTGACTTAGATTTATCACCATAACTGCTTCTAGGTATATATTTTAAGTCAAATTACAATCAATTTAATAACTATATTACATACTCAGTAACATTTCTGCAAGATATTTGAGTTGAAATAACAAACTAACTATTTCCTTGGAGACTGTGCCTTGTCATTAGATATATATATATATATATAAGCCGAGTAGTGTGTGATATTTATTGGCATCATTTATTTTATTGCATTGCTAACAAAATCCAATCTACATTCTTACCATTGAAACAAAATTAAAACAAAGGTTGCATACATCAAGGCAAACTTTGCTCTCAACTTCATCGTCTCCTTGTGTTATTTGTTTTCTCACGTGCACCCCAAGGGTGTTACAGTATTCAGGTTTATGTACCACCTTCTCCTTCCGATGTGCATGTCAACTTGATACACAGTCTGATCATGTTCACCGGAGATGTGTAGTTTTATTAAGGTTTATGTACCACTATCTCCCACTGATGTGCCAGTCAACTACATATACAGTCTGATCATCTTCCACTGGAATTGTGTAGTAGTATTCAGGTTTATGTACCACCATCTCCTACTGATGTGCAAGTCAACTACATATACAGTCTGATCATCTTCCACTGGAATTGTGTAGTAGTATTCAGGTTTATGTACCACCTTCTCCTTCCGATGTGCATGTCAACTTACAAATAGGAATGGTGTGATTCATGTAGTGATGAGTGTACTTCAAGATTGTTTATTAAAGACTATTTGATCTATTTACATCTTTCTACAGGGAGATAGTAGAAGCTGTACATTTGAATAACAATGTTACACTAGAGTCCAATGTGGTTTGATAAAGAATGCAGAGAAGTTAATCAAACTAAATATTCAAGTCTACATAATGTTCGTAGTTTAAATAATAGGGAAGATATTGCTACACATATTAAAAACAAAACAAATTTAAATTACTCTGTAAAGATACACAGGGAAAATAGAAGTATAGATAAATCTCTTTCCGATAATACAGTAGTTTGGAAAACTGTGTAATCAATTTTAAGTCCTAGAATAAGTACATCCATGGAAGTTCGGAAAGATGACTTTGAGAATTTATTTAACACAGAAGATTCCAATGGCGTAAGGCATTATGACAACTGTGAGGTACATGACGACATTTCAAATGTAATTCTAAATGGCAAAATATCTGAAGAAGAATTAAGAAAGGCCGTTTCAAACTTAAAGCGAAATAAGTCCCCAGGGAGAGATAATTTCTAACCAGAATTCTTCCTTCCTTGTGCAGAAATACTTTGCCCAATGTTGATTTTATTAACAGAATATTAGAAATTGGTCATGTTCCACATGAATGGTCAAAGCCAATACTTATTCCACTGCATAGGGGTTGCAGTAAGGAGGATCCGAATAATTATAGAGGTATTTCTTTAACAAGTGCTTTTGGAAAGCTATTTACTTCAATAATATGCAACAGACTTAGTATGTGGTACAGATATATGAGAAAGTAGTGGAATCGCAGGCAGGTTTTACGCAAGGCTATTCTACAACTGATAATGTATTCACTTTAAACGCATTTGTTGAGAAATGTGTTAAAAAAACGGTAAATTATATACAGCATTTATAGCATTTTATGAAAGCGTTTGACACTGTTAATCGTCCCACGATTTGTGAGAAATATTAAATAAAATAGGAGTTAAGGGAAAGATATTCAAGGTGATTAGGAGTATCTATACTAACGTTGCTGCATGTGTTAGAAGTAATGTAACTTCTCAGATATGTTTGATTGTTCTAATGATCTAAAACAAGGATGTATTATGGGTCCGATTATGTTCTCGTTATATATTAATCAACAAGCAGAAAATATTGAAACATCAGATTGCTCCAGTAATCAGATGTTCCCCAATATCATAAAAGTTTATCTACTACTTTTTGATGATGATATTCTTCTTTTCTCTGATAGAATAAAAGGCCTACAAAAACAATTAAACCTTCTGTCAAAATTCCGATTAGAATATGGGCTAATGGTTATTATGGACACGTCTAAGATTATGTTTTTTAGCAAAAAGGGACCAATTGCCAAAACAAGGAAAAAATGGTTTTATAACGGAAAAGAACTAGAGATAGTGTCGAAATATAAATATCTTGGAGTTATATTTATCCCTCAGTTATCTCGGAGAATATCAACACTTCAAAGGGCGTTAAATACAAAGGTGTTAGATTGTGTAGTTATATCCATAAGAGGTATTATCAGTATTGACTAAAAAATGTTTTAGATTGTTCGATATTGAAGTGTTATGATATTAAAGTTATGAAATTTAGGGTCACAGAAAATATGTGAAAATTGAAAGAATACCTATTCAGGCATGTAAGAGATTGATGCATTTTCCTGATAAGACGCCAAGTAATGCAGTATTAGGGGAGTGCGGAAGTTATCCCGTGGTAGTATATACATCTAAAAGAATAGAGAAATATTGTTGAAAGGTCATGAGAATGCCTGAGTACAGGTATGTTAAAATATGTTTATGACAACTCTGGTAAGGTAAATTAGGTATCTGCGGTAGGAATTATTTTGGGTTGTAACAGTTTTTGGGTTGTATGAATGGGGGAGTTGAGAATATAGAATGTTCTCTGTTTGAATTTGTACAAGGGATAATAAGATATGTTTATATTATAGAGTGGTATGCCGTTTAGAAACTTCTTCAAACTTATGTACATATAGGCGTTTTAAGACAATATTTGAACCAGAAAGACATTTAGATGTTGTTAAGATAAAGATTAGAGGATTATTAGCAAGTTTAAGGTGTGGAGTTTTACAATTAGAAACATAAACCAGGAGGGCTAAGGGTAAGATATAGTCAACTTTGCAAAAACGGATAGAAAATAGAAGATGAAATGCACTATATGTTAGTAATAATATTAGACAGTAATGCATACCAGACAATATTCTAAAACTACCAGTAGGACATGATTTTATATCACTAATGACCATATGTCAACCTCAATAGTTGCGTTTGCACTAATGAACTCTAATAATGACTCAATGAAGAATGTAGCTTATTAATATGTCACGCAACTGTATAAGGGAAATCGTTATTGTGCTCATAACGCTTATACATGCATCATGTGATTTATTGTCTATGATTCATTGATTCATTGATTGATAGTATCGTTGTATAGTGTTGTAAGGGTGCATGTAGCTTTGTATAGTTTTGTAAGGGTGTATATAATAAGTCGTATGCTTCTCTAGATGGTAATATGGTCTGATGTACGCCTCTTTGAAGCAGTGTTACCCGAGCCAGTAAAGATGTATATGCCATTGTAAAGTGATATAAAGTCTGTATGTAGCTTTGTATATAGTTGTAAAGGTGTTTACATCATTATATAGTGTTGTAAGGATGTTTATATCATAATATAGTGTTGTAAGAGTGTTTATGTCATAATATAGTGTTGTAAGGGTGTTATATATCAGTATATAGTGTTGTAAGGGTGTTTATATCATAATATAGTGTTGTAATGGTGTTTATATCATAATATAGAGTTTTAAAAGTGTTATATATCAGTATATAGTGTTGTAAGGTGTTTATATCAATATGTAGTGTTGTAAGGGTGTTTATGTCATAATATAGTGTTGTAAGGGTGTTTATATCAGTATATAGTGTTGTAAGGGTGTTTATATCATTATATAGTGTTGTAAAGATGTTTATGTCATTATATAGTGTTGTAAAGATGTTTATATCATTATATAGTGTTGTAAGGGTGTTTACATCATTATATAGTGTTGTAAGGTTGTTTATATCATTATATAGTGTTGTAAGGGTGTTTATACCATATATAGTGTTGTAAGGGTGTTTATGTCATTATATAGTGTTGTAAGGGTGTTTATATCATTATATTGGGCGGTGGGGTAGCCTAGTGGTTAAAGCGTTGGCTCGTCACGCCGAAAACCCGGGTTCGAATCCCCACATGGGTACAATGTGTGAAGCCCATTTCTGATGTCCCCCGCCCTGATGTTGCTGGACTGACTGAGTTTGGTTTTACGCAACTTTTAGCAATATTCCAGCAACATCACGGCGGGGGACACCAGAAATGGGTTTCACACATTGAACCCATGTGGGGATTCGAACCCGGGTCTATGGCGTGACAAGCCAACGCTTTAACCACTAGGCTACCCCACAGCCCCTGATGTTGCTGGAATATTGCTAAAAGCGGCGTAAAACCAAACTCAGTCAGTCAGTCAGTATATCATTATATAGTGTTGTAAGGGTGTTTATATCATTATAAAGTCTTGTAAGGGTGTTTATATCATTATAAAGTGTTGTAAGGGTGTATATGTCATGTATAGTGTTGTAAGGGTGTTTATATCATTAAATAGTGTTGTAAGGGTGTTTACATCATTATATAGTGTTGTAAGGGTGTTTTTATCATTATATAGTGTTGTAAGGGCGTACATCGGTTTATAACTTTGTATTGCATTGTATTGTGTTGTATAGTCGCTATACAGCATTGAATCACATTGTAGTAGTCTATTGTATTCTATTCTTGTGCTTGAACTTGAAAACATACATGTCTCGTTGTCATGATGTAATATAGTGTGTGTTGCCTTCATTTTGAAAATAAACTAGCATAATATAGATATGAATGATGCCATTGTGCTGTATAGTTGTTGTCTATATAGCATTGTTTTGAGTTGTTTTAGTGTATACATCATTGTATTACATTGTAGCAGACTCAAAATTGTACAGGTGACACGTATGTCTCTTTGGACATGATATAATAATGTGTTTTGCCTCCAACTGGCATAGCCGCCCTGATTTTGCTGGAATATTGCTAAAAACGGTAAAACTTAACACACTCACTCCAAGTGGCATTGTATAGACTTGACTGACAACATTGTGTGTACAGCATTGTAAAATGTATTTGATGTCTCTGTTTAAGAATACTCTTTAATTCCCCCAGTGATTTGGAGAGTACATTAGATTATATTAGTTGTCAGTCGCACTGACGACAGAGACAATACATATGACAATTGAGTTCAACAGGGTTTTCACAACAAAAGAGAAATATAAAGAGCTGTATTTACATGGTGTGTGACATAATTTCACAGATATAATATACACCTTAAGTTCCATGAGCTGACATTTTTAGCCACGATGCTGATAAATGTTGCCCAGCTGTCCAGTGTCATATCATGGACCACATCCGTACTGGCACTGAGGTATGTCAGGACCTTAGCTTCATCACTAGCAGTGTCCTCGAGTCTGAGATAGGTGTCAAGGCTGAGGTTATCAAACAACGTCTCACTTAGCACATTCTTTGTTCAGTGAGGCTTTCACAGTAAAGCAATTGATGCTTAACAATATCTTCCCTTTCGCAGTCACAGAGCAGACATTGTCCCGATCTTACAGGTAATATGCCGAGCTTAACCACGGCATAAACAGGAGGAGATGCGATACCATACCATGCACACAGATTCCAGAGACGATGTGGAGCAAGCTGGGTATCAATATCACTAAACCTATGCATATCAGGACGTTGTTGCAAAGTGTTTCTCCATTTAATATTTTCAAATCTACACAAGGTTCGTTTGACTGTGCTTTCCCACCTTTACATGGGAATTCTCCGGTTTTGATAAATTTGTCTAGTACGCCTGATAACCCATACTTCTTGGCTACATTTAGTAGATCATGTGTTATGGATCTGGTACTATGTGTCGTAGTGGTGGCATACTGGCACAGTCTCAGATAGAAGATCGGCTTCACAATAGTTGTGCCGGCTGCTCTACAGAGTCGTCCTAGGAAGAGAAGCTTCATCTTGTCTATTCTGCCCAGCATTGTCCATAATCCAAGGACCTGGATTGTAGCACCTGTAGACGACCTCTTGTGGAGATTCTGGACTCGCCGCGCAAAGTACCGTTGCAAAGTTTCCATTTCGTTGATTTCACAATTGATGATATTTGGCCAGAGTTCACATGCATAGAAAGCAGATGAGAAGATTACTCTTTGCCGGATATTCGAAGAAGATATTGGGCTAAATCCTCCAGCTCTGAGGCCAACTTCTCTTAGGGAGTTGATTGTCTGTCTTGCTTTAGTACAAGCTCGAGCAGTTCGTCCACTTGCTTTCTCTGTGTGTATCAGAGAGCAAGCATAAATCGTGCTAGTATGGATCGGCAATGTCACTGCTCTAATTTGGAAGACAGATCTATTACATTGTCTTCTGTCGTTGATGAAAGACAAGAGACAGCTCTTACTGGCGTTATATGTCAGTCTCCAGCGGAGGGCATACCGGTGGATAGCAGCAAGGGACATGTTCAGTCCATCTGCAGTAGTACTGGCAACAGTAGTATCATCGGCCAATAATACTGAGGGGGATGTGCTCCTTACCAACGATTAGCCCGTATTGTAAATCATCAAGTTGGGATATCAGGTCATTGATATAGACTAGGAACATCCATGCTGAGAGCACACGACCTTGTTCTACTCCTTGTTGGACATTCAACAAATCACTCATTTTACCATTGTATTTAACACACGCACATGCTTCTTGATACGATTGAGGGATGATATGCCATGCACGGCCCTTTACACCAAGGTTGAATAGTTTCAGCAACAGCCCCTCATGCCATATCCTATCGAAGGCCTTTTCGTTGTCCAGAAAGGCAACAAGGACATTTGAGTGTCTATCTCGATAATCTCCTTTAATACGTATGTGGCTACACTGGCTCCATGCTTTTTCTGGAATCCACACTGGAGGCGATGTGGGAAATCAGGATTTACAATTTTGATGTAGGATTCCAGTCTGTCAAGCAGCAATCTCTCAAACACCTTCCCAATCACTGATGTGAGAGTGATACCGCGATAATCAGCTGGGTTGCGTTTATCTTTGTTATTTCCTTTATGTATCGGAATAATCGTTCCAGTTCTCATCATAACAGGCGTGTGACAGGAGCTGACGATCATATTATAGAGGTGCGCCAGGTGTTTAAACAGAAGAGTGCCAGCATAATGGAGATGCTCGGCAGTAATACAGTCAGGTCCCGGAGATTTATTCTTTTTCAGCTTCTTAATAATTGCTTTCACTTCAATGGATGCAATATCTGTTTTTAGGATTGTATCGTTCTCAAGTATGCCACTTTTTGCTATATCTCTCACTTTTGATTTCGTTTCCTCATAAAAGTCCTTGTCGAACTCAGGCTTGTCGAGAGGTGACAGCAGATCCCCATAGTAATCAGACCACATGGTGCAGATTTCCTCAGGTGTGCTAGCTGTCTTGTCGTTATGATGTAGGGATGCTAGCTGTCTTGTCGTTATGATGTAGGGATGCTAGCTGTCTTGTCGTTATAAAGTAGGGATGCTAGCTGTCTTGTCGCTATAATGTAGGGATGCTAGCTGTCTCGTCGTTATAATGTAGGGATGCTAGCTGTCTTGTCGTTATAATGTAGGGATGCTAGCTGTCTTGTCGTTGTAATGTAGGGATGCTAGCTGTCTCGTCGTTATAATGTAGGGATGCTAGCTGTCTTGTCGTTATAATGTAGGGATGCTAGCTGTCTTGTCGTTATAATGTAGGGATGCTAGCTGTCTTGTCGTTATAATGTAGGGATGCTATCTGTCTTGTCGTTATAATGTAGGGATGCTAGCTGTCTTGTCGTTATAATGTAGGGATGCTAGCTGTCTTGTCGTTATAATGTAGGGATGCTAGCTGTCTTGTCGTTATAATGTAGGGATGCTAGCTGTCTCGTCGTTATAATGTAGGGATGCTAGCTGTCTTGTCGTTATAATGTAGGGATGCTAGCTGTCTTGTCGTTATAATGTAGGGATGCTAGCTGTCTTGTCGTTATAATGTAGGGATGTGCATGTTACGTTAGTCTTCCTCTGCTTCCTGACAGTTTTATAAAATTCACCAATGTCTACTTCACAGGCAGAGTTCAGCTCTGTATACTTGTGTCTGTCCCAGTCCCTTTCTGCTTTTCGTTTCTGTCGGCGGAAGTCGCATTTCGCTGCTTTATATTGCTTGTAAGAGTCATGCGAATCTCCTCTAGGTTTACCTTCAGATGCCCATTGTCGTCTGGCTTGACGCATCTGGTAGTGGTAGTAATCAAGACCGGAGTCTCTCCAATAGGGTTTGAGGTATGGCCTGTAGTATCCTGTTGGGATGTACATCGCTGCTGACGTGTGGAGAGCGCTTACTATGGCATCAAAATAATATGCTACCATCTCACTATTAGCATGTGTCAAGTCTGGTAGCGTGTCACCAAGTATTGTCAACTTCAGATGAGTACGTCTTTAGTTCGATGTCATTAGCTTTCTGCCACTTGTAGGTTGGAGGAGTCCATAGCTTTTGGCCTGTTAAGAACGCATCACTAAGGAATAATACAACCACTCGTGAATGATCCAATATATCATAACTGGTCTTGTTATCAACAAGCGTTGTCAACACAGACGATTGAAGAGCACTGGGTAAGAATATGTAATCAATCAGAGAGGATTGTGTCCCAGCC